TCTTCAACAATTCCTACTTCCTCGACGTGCACTTCAGCATCCACGACCAGGATGTTTTCTACTTCGTCAAAGATAATTCGCTCAAGATACGAGACGATATGGAGGAGCTGAGAAGACTCTCCGGAAAGTTCAATGTATCGCAAGATGAAACTAACGACCAGGGATCAGAGGTTTGTACCATATAATTACACTTACACTTAAAATATTTTTTACATGCTGTATTTTTTTTCATCAACCCTTCTGTCTCTTAAATTGAAATATGACTCCTGTAATTGAAGGTTCGAGTGCACGCGGTGGGCAAAGGCTCCGCGCAGGCGGTTATAGTCCTACGTTACGGTGTGGACCCTGCTCAGGAGAGGATCAAGTTATTGAAGCACGCACACAAGCGCGCCGCCGCCCGCGCCTGGGAGCGGGAAAAGGCGCTGGTGGCCGCCGGCTGGGAGGGCAGGGGCTCCTGGACCGAAGAGGAGAAAGAGGAACTCATCTCGCACGGCATCGTCGATGGTTGGGCGGCCAAAGACGTCCATTCCGTGTCCAAGTTCCCTCAGCTAGCCGACGACCCCGCCAATATCGTGTTCGTTCGCGACAGTAGACGGAAAAGGAGAAAGAGTGGCCGCGCGCGTCATCGCTCGTGAGTTCTCTTCACGTGCCATAACATATGTCGAGTTCAACTCCGCGTTCCACAAATCTCAGCGGACGCTCGGAAACTACTAAGTCTTTAGTTTACACCACTCTACAGGACTGAAGTTCTCTAAGTGAGTTTTTCTCTAAAAAGTGAGTTCTTGTGATTATTGTGTAGATGTATTTTTTGGACCGTTTTTCGTACGTGAATAAAATCGATAGATTCGGATTAGTCCTGGAAGTGGGAAACTTATTCTTTGTGAGTTATTCGTTAAGTAGAAAGTAGGAACTGAACCTGAAGTTTATTCGCTTACGTACTTAGGCTATGAATTTTATTTATAATGTTATTTTTTCTTCCTGTTTTGGAAATAATTTCGAGGAATCTCACTAAATAACTCACAGGGTAACGAGTCATACACGAAACTAATAGCAACTGAGCATAATATTGAAACCAAAATACTCAAATGCGATCACAATTTATTAATGATTTTTTTGATATTATTTTACCAATTTTTATATAATTTTTAATCCTATACCAACTAACGCTTACAATTATTTTGCAAATCATGTATTCTAGCCAAATATTTCGTTTTATCCGTAAATATAAGTATTTGTAAATAGCATTTAATTCTTGTAATTATTCATTTTGTAATTTAATCCTAAGTCCTTTTATTACTTCGCAATACTGTAACTATTTAAGCAATAATTTTATACTTTAAATACGATTGCTTGTCTTCGAAATGACCCTTGTGTATTTTATATACTTTTTAATTAAAATATATACATATTATTGTTACAAAACCTCTTATATAGTATAGTAACGTTACAAAAAGCATTTCGCAACTTTAAAATCAAATAGAAAATCCAATATTCGCTTATTATATAAGCTTGTTGATATTTAAACGTATTATACAAAAGTTACAGTGGAATTTATAACAAACATTTGCAATATCTGAGGGCCTATTACTTATGAATTAATTATTTTATATTTTAATTATTATTTATTAACAGTTTTATAAGCATAATATATTTATTAAAACTAAAATTGTAGTAGGTACCTCATTACACCAAATATCACAATTAAATGGCCTAAGAATATAATTCTATAATCAGCCTGCAATTTTACAAATTCATTTTATTTTTTTTTATTTTTTATTGAATCAATTTTTTTATATTGTTTTAAATATTTAAGAATATACCTTACCATAGACTCATCCTAGAGCTTCAAATACCTTTTTATATTCTATATCTCCTCAGATCCTTTTCCTAAAGCTAATAGAAAAATTTGTTATAAATATAATGGGAAACGTTGATACGTACACTCTGCATGTGTTGTGTAATAATCGAAATGTAGATTTACAGTAAAACTATAGGGTCATACTTCTTGCTGACTTATCTAGACTGCATAATTTCTTAGAGACTGATCATACTTTTATGTTTTCTTGCATTTTAGCTGTGGTCACTGCGTCACGCTTTTCCAATGACCTCTATATTCCATTGGACAGGCTATAAGCCGTAGTGTTTTGTGCCTATTTGAATTTCTCCATTTTGGCGCTAACCGTAGGGATTGGAAGCTGTGTTGGAAACTCGAATTAATAATAGAGATAGAATTAGACGACAGTAATTTCAACAGACGCTTTTAAGACGGGACGTAGAAAAACCAGTCATTTCAAAGCAGCGACCTGCCCAACGGATACTATAGAGGTCAGTTTTTCCTCTTCACCCTGTCACTGTAGTGTCTGACAGGTTATTTTTATAGGTTATAAAATATTGTGGTCTCGTGAATTTTTAGAAGCTACGATGTAATAGTCCTTCCTAATTGTATTAGACCATTGCATCTTCATTCTGTTAGATGTCATCTAGTTAAGACGCGCATTGACCTCAGTTAATTATTATAAGATTGTATATCCTGTGAACGTGTTAATCGTAAGTCAGTAAGAAGCTAAATGTAATGTAATTAAATGTAGTTTATGTCCATAAATGTGTCTCGTTTAAATTGTGGTGTCTATTTCATGTTAGAGGTACTAATTTAATTGCAAGTTGACTGAGTGAGCGGTGATAGGGAGTCGATGATATTTTTTACAAAAAGATATTATAATAAACCTCGGGAGAAGTTTGTGTGAGCTCCGGGCCCCGGGTCCGTAGAGGCAGAGGTCGCCAGAGGTCAGCTAAGGTCGGCAGCGAAGGACCCACGCGATGGTGATATTTTTGCAAAATGTGACTAAACAAAGCAATACATTGTAATGTAATACGTCTTATCTTTTTTTAATAACTTTAAGGTGTATTTTTATTTAAATGAATAATACAATTATATATTATATCTATTGTGAATGTAGTTATTCGTTTCGCGGTGATATTTAGTAGAGCGTATCTTTTTTATGGTGTATAAAGAATTCTAATTTGTAAATAGGTACTTAAAATCGTATTGTGTAAAAAAAATATTGTACATATCTGTACGCTTGGATTATTTATAAATTATCGTCGGTAAGGTTTTAGATTATGAATTGTATTGTAATATAGTGGGCGAGCCACGGAGCCGTTAGAGGCTGCACGAAGCCGTACCATCGTTCAGAGTGGCCATCGCGTCCCCGATACTTTCCTAATAACATTAAATTTGAAATAAAAATGAACTTTCGCTTAACTACCATCCGTAACTTTCACATATTGCATGGATTTATTTCATTAGTTGTATAATCTGTCGGTTGTCAAGGGGCGGGGAGTTTTCTATAGTTCTCCGTCAACAATAATACCATAGACAATTAAAGCTTCTAGTTATTTTAGAGGGCTTCAGAGGCGCGGTATGTGAGGCGTCGATAAAGTAGATCTGATTTGTCGTGCCGAGTCGATAAACATTTTGATTTGTATTGTAGACAAGACGTGTAGGTCCCAGGATGTTAATGGCCGCCGCGCCGGCGACACTCGGGCGTGAGCTCCTAGTGCGAGTGAGTCATGTGAAAGACGATGGAAGCATGTACAATAATAAACATAGAATGTATTCTAATGGAATATGTAATAAAACATTAAAACTTGAAAACTCTTTTATTTCGACTATCCCTATACCACGACCCTATCCAAATATATCTTTTAAATATATGTAGAAAGATTTAAAACTCAATAATTACAAACTAAAACATCGGCAACTCAGGTGTTAAGCACTTGACTTGTAATCTGCATATCCTGGGTTCGAATCCCGCGATGTACCAATGTGTTTTTCTATTTTCGATTTACTGTACTTTTATTCGACGTTCTTACGGTGAAGGAAAACATTTTAATGCAACCTGCACATATCTGCGATGAAATTCAAAAATATGTATGAAGTCTACCCGTACTGGGCCAGCATTGACTATGTCCTAGTCACCAAACTTAGGGTAGGCTCAAAGCAACTCAGTGGGGATGTATAGTGAGCTGATAATGATAAATAACCAACACCCCTACTAAGAAGATATTCGATAGAATTTTCGTTTCACCACATTCTTACATCCATTTAAAACTTTATAGTAATTGGAAAGCAGCGAGAGGACAGTTCTCATATATGTACAGTTGTTATGAGTAATATAAAAAAGACGGTGATGATTTATAAAAATAATTTATTTTTAATGTGCTCTCATACAACTAGTGATATGTTTTTATCAAATATACAAATATCTATTCAACCTCACATATAAACATAATATATACAATAAAAAAAACTTATAATTATATTGTACACGCAACTTTAATCACTAGAGTCAACATACAATCTATCAACAGACATTTAGTTAGACAAATATAAAAAATATCTTTTTAATCTGTGCAAATATACATCAACATTTACTTTTTAAATAAAATAACGACTACAAATTCTAATATAACATTGTCTTTTAAAAAATAATAATAAATTAAAATTCATTTAAATTTTTATAGTGACCTAACGAACATGCTACGATATTGGAATTTGCACGTGAAAATGCACTACGTTTGTGCACTAACCCTTACTTTCCACGCCTTTTAGAACGTGAACAAAAACATATATGCTATCCCACTCACTCTCCTTGAAAGGACAGAGATAACAAGTTATTTTAATAAATGTATTACGTCAGTGGAAATGCACTAAATCTCATGAATGTGTCTGAAAATCTAACACAACAAATACAAACATTTAAATATTTGCAATAAATATTTTAAAATCAAATCAATATTGTCCAATAAAGTTTTAATCTTATAATGTTCAACAAGATCGACTAATTAGCATCTTTAAACAAAAAATATAAAAAAACTATATATATATATATATATATAAAAATTAATAAAAAATAACCGATTGTAAATTGACATAAAATAATTTTATTTACGCAGAAAACATTTTAAAAGTATATAAACATAAATAGGAACTTTTAAAATTATAAAAACTCTAAAAATATACATCATGATTTGTTTTAAATAACATAAAAACATCGGACATATCCGAGTTTTACAGATATGATTAGGTTATAAACAATGTCGTGTTAAATCTGACGTAGTCAATGTTTATTTAGACATAAGTCCACTGACCTCTATAAGTAGATAGGTTATTGCTTGGAAAGTGATTTCATCCAAGCTGTCAAACTTTGACTTCGTTCCGATTTAAGCTCGCCAGTTGATGTTACTTGACAGTTTATTATATGTCATTAGTTCGAATCCACGCCACCGACACAAAACACATCAGCGCCAAAATAGCAAAAATGTATTGTTTTGTGCCAAATAGGCACAAAACAATACGTCTTATAGCCAGTCCATTGTCAGTGAGTATTTGCCATAAGTTCGTCTCGTTCTGAAACTGGCGAGCGGTATTCGTACGATTCGGTTTATCTTTAGGCAGGTTAATGGATTTTTACTGTGGGACTGGACTGGACTGGACTGGACAATTTTCAGTACAGTGGAGTTGTGAGGTTACATTGTTCAAGAATATTCCATAGGTCCGGTGACAAGGAGCGCCGTCTTGTCCCACTTGGCCATGGCGTCATCATTGACAGTGTCGATGTCCCACCGCTGGGACTCCACAGTATCGCAGCGGTTGATGAACACTTTGCGACTCGTCTTATCCCAATCCAAACAGTTCTCGTTGCCGCCGTGTTTTAATTGTTTTGTTGTCTGTTTGTTATTTAAAAAAATATTATTTGCCGTAAAGTATGAACCCAGAAGCCAAAAATCAATAGCAATTTATTTTAATAAAAGATTATTTGAAAACATCAAAAATGCAAACATTGTGTGCTAAAATGCCACTATTCAATCTATGCCATGTCGGATTTTAAAACAGATAAATATTGGTTGGGAAGTTAATTTAGAGATTACTGGGGCAAGTCTTAAATACATATTTGAATGCGTGAGCGAATGGTTGAAAGTTAAAATGTTTAGAATTCTCTAAAAATATGTCTAGTTGTCGTGCCTCTGTAAAAGAATGAATGAATGATGTTACTCACCGGATGATACCTCCACAGCTGGTTGCCGCCGCCAAGGTGACAGGAGTACACGATGATGGGCTGCTCCGGTCTGGAGTCCGGCACATCCCAGCACATATTCCTGTCTTTTGATCTGCAAGACATGACAATATAAAGTTTCGCATTATCTTGAATAAATTTACCATTATTATTGGTTTTTTAATTCACTTCAATACGTAGTTCAGGAGTAATGGTGAATTAGGGAGTCCTTTTGTATAAGAAATCAACACCAAGAGCATGATTAACAAGTTCAATGCGCAGGTTCTGTGTATCAGCAGTGAGCAGTGAACAGTGAGCAGTGCGCAGTGCGCAGTGAGCAGTGAGTAGTGGTGTGCAGGACTCGCCTGATGTCCTTGTGCCAGGAGAGCAGGAAGTGCTGCTCAGTGTCGGGTGCGCGCACGCAGGCGGTCAGCAGCAAGGCCTCGCCCTGCTCGCCGCGGTGCATGTCCGCGCACAGCTGCCCGTGTGTGGCCGGCCTTATCTGTATACATACCATCCGAATAATATATACAATCATTTTAATATTATAATATTGCCATAGAATTATTTAGCGGTTAATTTATTTTTACACCAATGTCCTTACCCTTCCTTCGGCAAATGGCTCTGGTTCAATCGGAGGATACTTTGCTGTTAAATCGAATGCTATCTGAAAATAAAAATAAAAACCGTTGTATTACATTAAAATGAAGAATGATGAGACACAGAGGGATAGGCAGAGATAACGAATGAGAAATTAAATGTAGAGAACAATCTTAGCTATTAAAAGATTAAAATTTTATCAGCTCAATTCTGCAGTGGGCGGGGACAGCACACTTAGGGGCGTGTCTCTGCACAGGTTCGTTTTCCCGTAGTTCCGCCGACGGTACTAGAAGACAGCCGTCGAGAGGGTTTTAGTGGGTGAAACCTCACAAAACCTTGTCCCCCCCGAGGGTAATTTTAAGATATCTCATCAAATCAAATACCAAAAAAAGGGGCGTGACCCACTTTAGTTCCTCTACTCCTCTTCTCCTTGTAAGTCTCTTACGAAATAGCTGTAAAGTTTATATCTCGCTATGGTGACCTGCGTCATGAACCATCTGAAGGACTTGCACTGCAACTTCTCCCGCAGCCTCCTCTGCTGGGAGATGTCGCCGGTATCAATGTGCAGGTAGTGCGGCCGTCGCTTGTACAAGTACTGAGCGTACTCGTCCATCCACACCTCCGCCACGCGCCTGTAATTCTGTACATATTACCTTCATTAAATATCATGTATTCGTATGTGAATATTTTGTTAAATCGTATGTAATTGAAATAACATACTCTGCCGACGAAGTCCCCGTGGCCGGGGTTGGGGAAGGGCGCGAACTTCCTGTAGATGTGGCCGACGCGAGAGCACGGCGCGTCCACCATGCGTCCGCCGCACTGCCAGATCTTCACAAAAATACTTTTAAACTGCATAAACCTTAAGATAAATTAAAGAGCCAGCGAATTACCACTATGGTATCAAATAGACACAAAATTGTAGAGGTCAGTAGTTGTGTATAGATACGTGAGTGCGAGTACCTTAAAGCTGAGCTCGTACTGCTCGCCGCCCCAGATGTCAAGGCCGGGGTCGTACCCACCCAGCTCCCAAAAGAACTTGCGAGATATCGCGAACAGCCCGCCCGCCATCACGGGACTCCTGCAAACGAGAACAAACATCCATCCATCCAAACTTTCTCATGTATAATATTAGTAAGAAGTAAGTTATTTTCTGTTTTTTTCAAAGATGATGTAATATTGGAGTGCTGCACTAACTGGAAAGGTTCCGGCATATTCCGCTGGTCTCGCGGCAACACGGGCAGCCTCTTGTAGAAGAGTTCCCAGTCGAAGGCGCCGCGCGCGCCCTCGTCCTGTGCGCGGTACTCGAACGTATCGTACGCGATCACGTCGATAAACGGACACACCACTGTGCGGTAGTTCAACGCTATCGGCTCTGCGATACAAATACGATACAATTACGGATACAATTATAACCTAACCTTCGATAAAACACGTCTATCGGATCAGAAAGAGATAGAAAAAGAGAGAACATTATTTATTCGAAAATGCGTCAAAAGGGAAAAGCTCTATTTAATACTAAGGTACAGTCAGCTGCATAAATATGTTTATATTTTCAAAAATTTAAACACAACAGGCCTTCCGTTTTGAAAATATGTTTGCACGTATTCGTTAATACCATGTACTAATCGTCGGATACATTCAGACGTATACGTGAAAACATAATTTTTAAAAGAACACGTATACAAATTACTGTAGCTTTTTACATATTTATGCAGCTGACTGTCTAGTCTTTAAGATTTTCATAGGTAGGTAGGGTTACCTAGTAATGGTGGTAGCCAGTTGAGAGTGGCCTCAGTGTGTGAGTCTAGGAACAGTAAGACGTCAGCAGTGGCTTGCGCGGCGCCCGCCAGCCGCGCGGCTATGAGCCCGCTTCTCACTGCTAGCCTCACCACCTTAACCTTGGGCAGATGCTCAGATAAGTAGTCTTCTAGCTTCTGCTTTAGAAAATCTACAATCAGAATTAGAAATAGAAACGTTTAAAATGATTCTATCTCGCTCCCACTCATCACTGTAATTGACAATAGAACTTTACTATGGATTTTGTCTGATACATGATGGCAATGCGTTATTTGTTATAATTTTTTTGATAGTTTAAAACTGTTTTATTACATATTAACGTTATTTGTATCGTGCAAAGTTACCACCGCTATTGATAAACCTACAGATAGAGAATTTCCGGTTATAACTAAAATAAAAATTACTTAATACAATGTTAACGAAATTAAAATTAAGTATAGTGTCATTATTGTGGTTGCACTTTGCAGGTTTAAGAAACGTCACTAGGGTTTCGCTGACCAAAATCTCTGTGTAAAATATACTGTCTCTGTCATTATCTTTGACAAAAGAGAGACAATAATATGTTTTAAACGGGGATTTTGTAGCAGTCGCCTTTTTTTTATATCATAAGATGGCAAACGAGCAAGCGGCCACCTGAAATCGCTGTAGTAGCGAAGTGACCGTTGCCCATAGACATACGCAATTGCATATGCGTTGCCTACCTTTAATCGACGGAGGAGAGGATGCACAGAAAGAAAATACTTTCCCTTCCCATGCATCCTCACATCCGGAAAATCCACTTCCACTTCCCATCCTTTCCTTATAAGAAAAGGGTGGGAAGGGAAAGAGGACTAAACTAGGCCTCCGGGACGCACACTCATCAGACGAAACGCGGAATTGCTTCCACTTCACGCCTGTTTTCTGTGTGGTGGTGGTATTTCACCGGACGAACCTGGCCAATTCGTGCGAAGATGTTAAAGCGGGTTCTACCACTATTAAATCACCTAAATCTTGAGTTCGAAAACTCTATAAATAAAGGCTGATAATACAACACACTGTATAATTAACATGACTAAATTATTATTTACACTTAATCATTCTGCATAACTATCGATAAGAAATGTGAATAACATTGGATAATTTACTGCTATTTATTTATAGTTAACCTCTTTGAATGTTTCTTGTGTATATAAAAAAATGATGTCACTTTATCATAAATTTCCATACACGCATAAAATTATATCGTCATCTCTTTCATTTTCTTTAACAAAAAAGAGACAGAAAAGTATGTACTATACAGGATGTTTAAAAAATTGGATTATTTAACCTTGATACAAGCATAGTAGGTTTTTACCCCTACACATTCAAGGAGTATACAGAAATATCCACTTGGCGGCGTTTAATAAAACGAGTCTACTAAGTTATTTTCATTTCTTATCAAGTTATTTGATTAAGATATTTATCATTCTTATCATTTCAATCTAATTATTTTGTAATAATGATATTATTATCACTTTGTATGTGAACTTTTGAGCCGATTTACAAAATTAAAAATGTTACTATTTAAATGTAATACGGAATGTCACAATCTCGTACAAATCATATTAATAACTTGCATAAGATATGGTTAACCAATTTGAGGTAATTAATAATATTAAATTTCTATTGTTACCGAGGTGATATTATAAAAGCATTTTATTTTTTTACCTTTACCAGTGTACATAACTCAGACTTACTTACATATTTATATTGAACAAACTGTGCAAACATTAGTATATGTAATTACCTTTTAATATTAAAAAGGTTAATTAACGCAAACGAAAATGTAGAATATCAATAAATTTAAAATTATGAGTAACTGGTTTGCTTTTTTTTATAATCAATTCCCAAATTTTATGGCCAGTTTACATAATTCCAGTCAATCTAATCCAAGATAACAACTGGAAAAATTTAAACCCACTCTGAAATGTATTGCATTGGTTCCAGTGTCATCTTTCTTTCAAATAACTTTTCATATCTCTATGTATCAATGTTACCAGAGTAAATGAATATCAACTCACCCTTTGTGCTTGCATCATCGACTAAGAAAACCTCCTTGATGAGAAACTCTGGAGACCGGATAAGAACACTATAAGCTGTACGCAGTAATGTACTCCAGTGTTCATTATGAAAGGGCACCACAACACTCACAGTTGGCAAGGACTCTATATATTTGCGCTCTTTGCAACCAGGATGACGGATATCTGGTAATGACCGATTTAAAGCAATCTTATCACTCAATGCTCCATTGAATCCATTGACAGAGTACAATTGTTCTTCCAGTGATGCCAATGTTTGAGGTAGCCGTGCTGGTAAACCCTGCTCACCAATTCCTGCAAATCATTCAGTAGTTAGTCTATTTTTCCATTAATATGCTGTAATCTCAATTAATAAAATAACAATAACTCACCCTGACGTTTTCTCTCATATTCAATTTGTGTATAATTGTGCCAGTCAATTTTCTATAATAAAACAGTTACATTATAAAGCATTATCCAATTTTTAAAATTAAATATGTAAATGTATATTTTTACCTTTAAACTCTTTGGAATAAAATAATCCGTTTGGTCACTGTTACTTTTGTATATACCATAAAAAGTCTTTAGTATATAAAGTAAGATAACCAAAAAGGTTATAGTAAGGAGGTTCCGTAGTCTTAGCAACTTTAAGAATTGTCGACGCATCACAAGCATGGAGCTGAAACAATAAGTATGTTAGGACAATGAACTTTTATTAGGCAATAGAAGCATATTTTACAGATAACTGAGTATAGAATCGAAATGTAACATTACTAGTTTTAAGCTTAAAAAAACCTTCTTCTGTATACTTTCTTCCTTGTATATTTTTTTATATTTTCCTATTCATTCCATTCTCTTTATTGCTCCGTATATGTAAACCTAACTGATTAAAAAATTTAAAGGAAACAAATGTGACGCTTGTTGATAACACAAAGATTAATTTTTGATTCAAGCTATCTACTTGCTCCTGATAAGCGAAATCAATTTAAGTTTAACTAGGTAAATTAATTTATTGTAAGGCTTTTCAATTTTTGTTACGAAATACATAATACCATTTTTATACGACCTGAACTTATTTATTTCTTTGATCGTTAATAAAAGTTTTAAATAAAACTTACCGGTACAGCCACTCGAATTTCATAACCAAATAACAAACGGTGGAATCCAATCAATGGCACTGAGTTTTAATAGAACGTACAAGTAAAATTTTCATTTCAATTTAATTTTAAATCATGATCATACATAAACTCGATTGTTTATTTTTATCAACACTATTATAAACCAAAAATTACTTTGACTTTGACAGTGACAGAACAGAATGACAATGCTATACCATGCTATACTATTTTTGCCTTGCCGATTTAAAACGAACCGAGACAAACCACGACATGGACAGTTTCCATAGACAAATGTAGAAAAGACAAAACGTTTTCTGACAGTGGCCGAATTGAAAAAAAAATGTTTAAAAGTGTATCTTAACGTTTTAACTCTGGAGGCGACTTTAGAAATGTTGTGGGTTTTTCAAATTATTTCAATAGAACTTTCCCAAAAATTTTATTTTTATTCTAAGATTTGAATGAATAACCTGGAATAACCTGACAAGAAGTGACAACTGTTTGTTTCCTATTGGTCAATCTATAAAGGAGAACAAATGGAATCCAATTGGAGAATTCCACAGATAAAACGAAAACTTTTGCTAAAAGGACCGGAATAAAACACATTTCGCTTTTCAATTTCAGTGTTCAGTCACTTTTTGCTTGTCATTCTCTTCGGCTTTTTATTTCAGGCACAACAAATATATTTATGAATTAATTGCAATTTTACCAATAATTGTAGAGCACGGTAAGGAAATAAATTACAAAAAACAGTAAATGTTTTTATAGGGTTACGTTTTGTTATTGATTATTGAGGATATCCGAGATCCGGTAATTTATGCCCGCATTTCGAATTCTATATCATTCCCACAATAATTGAAGTCGTCGACTTTAGTTTTAATTGAATTAAAGCGTGTAAATTGATGATTTGAATGATTTCACTTCTATTCGAAGTATTTCAAATTAAATAAGGTGATATTTTACAGATGGCTCTATTTAATCGAAAAGTGTATATATGTGGATTGCTGGTGTTATTTAGCAGCGTGATCGTAAGGTCTGAGGCCGACAATGATGATGAAGGAGTAACGGTTGAGGTTAGTATTGTAATGACCTAATTTCTTGTAACATATTTGAACTATGATATTGTAAATCCTATTTGCTACAAATTGACAACCTGTAAATATGTATTTTTGACACATAACGTGCATTAAATTACATTAATACATCATGAAATGGTTGAAATCGATTACTATGTAGTGAACATTGAATCAAAATAATTAAATTTAGATAAACATTTTGGATGACAAGAAAAATAACTGTAGATTAAACATTTGGGTATTATTTCCAGTTGACCTGGAAATTACAAAGTGTTTCATATTTTGTGTTAAACACATTGTGTATCAACCTGAATTTACATTAAGAAAAAATGACAATAATGTTGGATGTGTTGAATCAGTAGAAAAAGCCTGTGATCATACTAATTTAACATTTTTTCTATTACCAGAGTTTTTATTAATTTTGTTAGTGATTGTACTTGGGTGTGTGTGGGTAAACATTACATTTGATATTATGTCTTGTTCCTATTTAGCTATCAAACTATGGCAATCAGATAAGAGTAATATATTTTACTGTTTCTAATGCTTTATCTCTACACTTATCTGTGTCCCATTCTTTGCATGTTACTATGCTACTTTTTAATTTTACTCCTTTCTTAAATTTTTTTTAATAAAGGATCTGTATTTTTATTAAAAACCTATGAATGTGTTTATGTAGTTTTTTTAGCTTTAACATGAAAAGTTGCTTAATACATTTTTTCTTAACACAATGCTTCACTGAATTAACTATGTCTCTGTTAGGTTTTTGCATGCAAATTACTATTCACTTGTCTTTATTGCATCAAATATGTAAAATAATTATGCTTAATGTGCATATAATTCACTGTGATATATTTTTGTGTCATCGTTTTTGTATGCAGTATTCAGCAATGCTTAACTTCGGCATCCAACTTTATTATAAACTTCAAGTTTAATGAGTTTTAAGTTTTATGTCATTTATTTGTAGTTCAATATTTAGAGTACTTATTTTTTAGTTGGTTTATTTGACATATAATGTTTAAAAATCCTTTACTTTTATCAGCTATACTACTCATCATCAGCTCACTACACATCCCCACCGACGGGCTCGGAGCTTATACTACTAGGCTCTTTAAACATTCAATAATTTCATATATTAACATTATATTTTGACAGACTGTTGAAGAAACCGAGCAATACCATAGTCCAAGTATAAACTCAAAGAATGTATATTTATCTGAGCACTTTGATGATGAGGTGGCATTCAAGAAAAAGTGGATCAAATCGGAAGCTAAGAAACAAGGGGTTGATGAGAACATTGCCAAGTATGATGGAAAGTGGGAGGTAAGTTAGTTAACAATACAATATTATTCTAATAAATATGAAGACAAAAATTCAGACTATGAACCTGTTTTTGAACAAACAGCTTATCATCAAGTTTGAATATTTGTAAAAGATCTGATTGATCAAAGCCATTGGATATATTATGCTCAAGTTCATCTTCTGTTGGGCATAGTTATTAAAATTATGTTATAGTTAAATTAATATAAGCTATTGTGTACTTAAGTAAATATTCCCTCGCCATCTCTCTTTCACTGTTTTGCTTTACTTGAAATGTACCACATTAATTTAATTCTGATGGTTATTTTAGATTCAAGCACCCTCGCGACGTATCCTGAAAGAAGATCTGGGTCTAGTTCTGACTACGGAAGCGAAGCACGCCGCCATCTCTGCTCTGTTGGACAAACCATTTGAGTTCAAAGATAAACCTCTGATTGTACAATACGAAGTTACTATGCAGGTAATGTCAAAGCCATGTAAATTCTGTATAATATCATGTAAATATCATAATACGATGACTAATATCAATACATTTTAAAAATTACTCAAATATTCTAACAAATCTAAATCATACATAAACATTTATCCAGAAAAGAGACAAACAATTATTTTATTCATAATGTAATCTATAATTTCATAATTTACATGTGACTTCACTAATCACCTTATAGTACAATATTAAGTTTGCAGTTTGAGCGACATCACCTTTTATTGGATTAGTTTACTGTCCTACGAGGTTCTTTAACTTGCTTTTATAATCTGTGCCCTGACGCTACATACAATAAGTCTTCTTACATTCTACTACCAACATATTATAACTGACACCTTTGTAAGGTTTACTTAAGGAATTTTAACATTCACTTGTTTATATTTCCTAACATTGTTAATATGTGTTTCAAGCTATAAGTTACAACAGTTTAGAAAAACATTTCAAATAGTTATCACAATATTAGCTGTCATCCATCACTCCGATCGTGCGGAATAAAAAAAATGCTTTATTAGTAGCCTATGTATTCTTCCAAACTATGCCTAATTACAGTAAATCCTTGTAGCCGTTCTGGAGATAGCTTATAATAATACATATATCTAAATATTTGCATTTATAATATTGTTAAGATTTTATGGTTGATGTAAACAAATTTGGGAACTAAGACAAAGGAAAATTAATTTGTTGGTACAAAGTAACTGTATGTGAAGACACAGTTGAAGTTACTAAGTGCTTAAAGCTATTTTTTTAAATCTTTGAATAACAATTATGTTCTTTCCATCACATTGTTGTATGTAAAAATAGTAACATTGTAACTAATGTATGTTGTATGTTATTTCTGGTTCATAAAGGCAATAAACTGTCGTGACGTATCTACGTGCAATGATGTAGCTATTCTCACAGCATCTGGACTGACGCCAAAACTTTACTTTCTTTGTTACAATGCTGTCACTTATCATGTTACTAATATTATAAGTGCAAATGTTTGGATGTATGGATGGATGTTTGTTTGAAGGTATCTACAGAACCGCTCATGAATCTCGTTGAAATTTGGCATAGATGTAGAACATAGTGTGGAAGAACATAGTTCACTATTTTTTTTTATTCTGGGCTGGCTACTGATATATTGTATTTAATTATTGCCAAGGTTATTAACCTTTAAGTTAATTTCATTCAATATTTTAATAGGATATAGATAATAAGGCTTTAATTGAGGTATTTAAAGTTTAAAATTTCCAAACTCTACTTTCTGCTGGACACACTCAGAATCGTTAAGGTCTCCCTTTGTGTAGCTTTAGTTAAAGATATCTACATTAAAGATCCTCCTTAGTTTAAAATAATCACTCTTAGTGACCAATAATCTCCCGTAGTAATCAAAGTTGATACAAATACTTTTATGTTATAGGAGGGTCAAAACTGCGGAGGTGCTTACTTAAAGTTGCTCTCCCGTGGTACCAACACCAAGGCTGACCTACGCAAGTTCCACGACCAGACACCCTACACTATTATGTTTGGGCCTGACAAGTGCGGCAATGATAACAAGCTGCACTTCATCTTCAGACACCAGAACCCCAAGAATGGCACCATTGAGGAAAAGCACAGCAAGAAACCCAGGTATTTTATCACGTCGCTTTAGTTTACTAAGGTAACAATTTCTACTATATGTATTATATTCAATCCTATGTAAAGGATGAACACAAACCAATTATAATTAAATTTAGAAGATTCTAGTTTGACTAGCTGTTGTCGTCGACTCCATCCGCGTAGTATAAAAAAAACAATAGCCTATACTTCTAAACAATGTTCTTCGTCGTTGCCAAATTTAAGCGAGATACAGATGGACGGTCTTGAGATACCTTCAAACAAACATCCATTCATCCATCTATCTATTTAAACATGCGCATTTATAATATTAGTAAGAAGTAAGATGAGTTTTTTATTTATATATATATTTTATGAGTTATCTATGTATATGATCAGATTTGTTTATTAATATGTTTGTTCAGTCAACGTCTGGACGACATCTACAAGGACAAGGAGCCGCATCTGTACACATTGATAGTGCGGCCCGACAACACGTACAGCGTCCTCGTCGACGAGAAGGAGGTCAACGCCGGCTCGCTGCTCGATGACTTCTCCCCACCTGTCAACCCCCCAGAGGAGATCGACGACCCTGATGATACTAAGCCCCAGGACTGGGACGAGAGGGAGAAGGTAACCCATGTACATTGATGGAATGGAGATCAGAGGTCAGAAGTTCAAATACTTTAAAGCAGGAATGGTAAACTTTTACATATCAACATGTTTTCTTATAAATGTTAATATTAAATAAGTCATATTTTTTTTGCATAATTCAATTGGTTCGTCATTCCTGCGTTAAAATCTTGTTCTACTGATGCATTGGTCGGAATGAAGCGGAATGAGGACAGACTTGATGTTAATAGAATTACTACTTAGTTTGTAGATGTTTAAAATGACAAGATGATGTTTTAAATTAACTTCTGATGTTTAGTGTTACAAAATGCAATATTTGGTGTTTCCGTGAGCAGATCGTGGACCCGAGCGCGACGAAGCCCGAGGACTGGGACGAGGAGGCGCCGGCGCAGATCGTGGACCCGAATGCTGTCAAACCTGATGGCTGGCTGGACGAAGCGCCCGAGATGATACCTGGTCACTACACTTTGCACTTAAATTATTCTAAAATCTTTTTATGTTTCAAGAAAGTAAATATGCAAAAACCACGAGGATTCTATTAATTTGTTACATGATATTATACATGCATAAAGCAGCATTTCTAATGGTCTTTGGGTTATATGTTTCAATATAAAAATGATTTCTTTCATAATTGTACAATTACTATTATTAGAAAGGCAGGTATGACGAAGTATGGGCCGCGGACGAAAGCGAAAGCGTGCCCGTGGTCCCGTCCCGATGCGTTGGAGGAACAGAGAGGTTTAGTGGGTATGCCTCCGCTATGGAGGAGAATCCCACATAACTACCGCGTCCCCCCGGGGCGCGGAGTATGCATAAAGCATTCCCCTCTGAAAAAAAAAAAAAAGGTATGACGAAGTATACGTATTTGTCCAGACCCGGAAGCGAAGAAGCCGTCAGACTGGGACGAGGAGATGGACGGGGAGTGGGAGGCGCCACTGGTGGACAACCCCGCCTGCGCCGCCGCCCCCGGCTGCGGACCCTGGAGCCCCCCCCTCATACCTAACCCCAACTACAAGGTATTTATAATTAATCATTGACATCTCAAAACAAAATCTTTCTAAAAATATCTTTATCTTTGTTTAACAGTGATTTTGGTCTCAAATCCAACGATAAGGAAATTTATTGTAGAATTATGAAAATTAAAAAAAATATTGTAAGATTTATTTTATCTGTATCTTTTGAAATTTTACCATAGATAGTTTTTTATCTATTATGTACTATTTTTATATAATTTTTTTTGAAGAGATATTAATTGTATTGGATGTTATGTTGCAGGGTGTGTGGCGCGCGCCGCTCATCCCCAACCCCAACTACCGCGGCAAGTGGAGCCCGCGCCGCATCCCCAACCCCCACTACTTCCACGACGACCACCCCTTCAGGATGACGCCCATCGTGAGTACTCGACACCGACACTCTGTTGAAATACACCTTATCGAGGATCTTTATTTCCTACCACATCATTTGTCACTCACGCAGTTTGATAACTTATCATAGCAATATGGTTTAGATATAAAGTCTTAGTAATTTCAAACTTTTTGTTGACTCTGCGCGGACGAAGTCGCGTACAAAAGCTATCGTATAAAGCGAGTGGGTGTGCCAGATGTGTGTCACATGGAAGAGCCAAGCTTCAGTTATTCAGTTTGAATATGTTCCAGCACGCGGTTGGTTTCGAGCTGTGGTCGATGTCTCCGATGCTGCTGTTCGACAACTTGATCATCAGCGACGACCTGGAGGTGGTGTCGGAGTGGACGCAGCAGACGTACGCCCTCAAGCGCGCCAAGATCTCCAGCGATTCTGTGAGTACATGCCGTCCCTCTCGCACTCGCACTCGCACGCGCTGCCACCACCACAGACAGAGACACACACATGTCATAGATTTGCTTCCTTCCGACTTAAACCGGACGTCTTTAAGTTGGAGTTAAATATCCTAATGGTTAATCGTACTCTACTATTAGTTCCAATTTTTACCACCACTACCGCGACAGTCAGCGCCAAAATAGCGGGAAGCAAATAGGCACAAACATTACGGTTTTTAGCCTGTCCATGTATAGAGATCATGAAATCTGTTGAACAAAATAATAGCTGTTTCTCTGGTAAAGTCAAAGGTCTACTAATACAATCGTACCTGGATAAACGGCAGTCCAAGGAACCGATATTTTTCTTACTTATGGAGGTCGTCTTCCTGGACCGGATGATGACTATGGCTGATAAATGTTTCTAGCTTATCCGGATTCGACTGTATTTCTTAATATAAGTGTGTATTTTAATAGAGTACATAAATAAATACAATAGTGTTGTATGGGGTTGCGATAGCAAAGTGTGTGGGGGCGAGTGCTGCGCGCCACCAACTACAAGCCGGGCCTGTGGGCGGTGTACGCCGTCTACTGCGCCATACCCGTCTCCATTTACATCGCCTACCTCGTGCGCAGAGCCAGAGAGGTCCCACTCTTCACTCTGATATACAGCTAGGATACCATGTGTACTGCTACTCTTACGTCGTACCCCTTCTCACCCTTTTCCTATAACTAAAATGGACGCAAAAGAGAAACATTCTCTTTCCGTCATCTCACCAAACGCATCACCAAGTGCGGAAGCCTTTGGGAAGCGGTCGTTTCGCTATTTTGGCGAATCAAGACCGCTTCCTGGTTTGCCCATTAAAAACTCCTTTTGTCGTTGATATATTTCGTCAACACGATGCGACGATGGATTAAAAAAATAAAATCAGGTGAGATTGTAGTCGAACGCTAGTTTTTACCAAATGACTTCACTTGAGTATAACGCGCTATGATGTGGAATTCCCATATCAATATATTTGCTCTTTATAATATTGTCAGTAGGCTAGACTAGTAGAGTCTCGATGGCGTTCATTAGGAGGTGTCAGGAGAAGGAGAAGGAGTATTGCGGGGTACATGTAGAAGTGCTAAGCAGTAGTAGACGGTGTGTGAGTGTGTCAGTGTGTGTAGGAGAGTATGATGGAGCGCGGACTGCGGTGGGCGGGCGAGAGGCCCTGGTTCGCTGCGGCCGCCGCACTCCTCGCCTTCCTCCTGCTCGCCGCGCTCTGCTACCTCTGCTGCGGACCCTCCGCCTCCGCCGTGAGTATACACCATGTTGTCCATTGTTCAGGCTATAACACAGTACGCTCGCTATTATGAATTTTATTAATGACATGATTTTTTTAAAGTAAATATAAGATTTTATTTTTCCAAAGGAGGAATTCAACAAAGGTATGCGGATATATTTTATGTATGTATTTTAAATTACCGATTATTGTAATTCGATTTTATACATATTCAGGAGCCCGACGTAGAGTACAAGAAGACTGACGCGATGATGGAGGACGACCCGCACGAGGCGGAGGGCGAGGGCGAGGGCGAGGTTGAGACGAGGGCGGGGGCGCCGCGCGGCAAGGCGGACCTTGAGGGTCCCGCCACGCCCCCGGCCACACCCCCGGCCACGCCCCCACACTCCGACCACGAGACTGACCAGCCAGAGTAAGTCTCGCTCACCACCGCTCTCGACTATGCCAGATAATAACCACATCACTGCGTCTCATTAGATCCTTTTTTTTATTATTTTTCTTATCTACGATATTAACCTTTTTTCTGTTATTTCTAAATGTGTTTGTTGCATAATGGTTGTTGGATATAAATAAATAGTAGAATTGTTGTAATTAGGAAGGGCGGGGTGGACACGGAGGGCGCGGGCGACGGTCACAGGAAGCGCAAGCCGCGCAAGGAGTAATGACTGCGCTGACACATCTATATCCTAATTTATTGAGTACCTTCCGCTCTGGTACTGGTTCATGCTTCGTATTTTAAATGCATTCTACTGTATTTATCGATACTTTACACCTCTATATTTCAGTTATATAATATGTACTATTACACTATTTTGATAGAATACTTAAGCGAAGTAGATCTGTCCCTAATAGTAATAAATTTATAAATGTATTTTAATATGTTACTCTATTGTATAATTTATAACTCAATAAATTAGGACTAATATTAATACTTCTATATAGATACTATTTATAAGAAAATATAAATTCGCAATATAATTAATAGTCAAGCGTCATAATATCGATATTTCGAATGAACCTTATACATCACTATAATAGTTCGATAAGGAAGTGTGAGCGAGATGGCTGTACTCGGACGTCTCGTTCACACGTACTGGCGGCTTCTGATGTTTAGTGTTGTTTATGTGTCGACGTATTTTATTTAAAATGCAAAAGGTAAATATAATAGTGATGGCTTATTGAGAGTTGTGCATTTTGTTTGTTTATATTTATTTTGTTAGATAATCTTATTTTCTTCTGTATGTGAATTTTTGTTTATACTATAATGACTACGCCGCATTAATACTAAATATATGATTTTTAAATGAATTAAATATAAATATGATTTTTAATGGATTAAAATTTCGATTATTGCATATATTTTTTAATGTTTCTAATTTGTTTTCTCGTCTACCAAAGAAGCAAAGTAAAAGTAACCACTTTTCTGTTGTGAACAAAATAAATGTTTTTATTATGTAATACTAAGATATAAATACTATGTATTGGATGTTAAGATATTTTTCGTCCTAATTATATTTGTGTTTAGCTTTTAATTTCACAAGTACTCTCAGTCTGCACGCTAATTTTCCATTTTTTTTTCACATCTACATTCTCATCTGTTTGAATGTTTAGGTATATACATAGGTAAATATATATTTAGTTTAAAAAATATATTTGCTACGAGTGTTTAAGATATATTGAATAAATAATAATAATTCAAAATGTATTGGAATAATCTTATAAAAATATTGACTTTAAAACGATGTTTTTGAACTTGAAATTCTGTTGAAATATTAGTTTCATTAAACATTAGGGAACGTGCACATACTACGTGACTATAGGGCGGGAGCGGAGTCTTTAAAATTCTACGGTCAGTCACAGGAGCGGAGGGGGAGTGGCTCAGATTTAGTCGTTACTTGTTTTTTTTCATAATACATGATTCACTAGTAATTTAAGAATACATGCAGTCTTATGCTATAAAGAAGAGTATGAGCCAAATTATTTCTTTTTCAATTTTTACCTGTAAAATGATTAAAAATCATAATTATGAATTACTACGTAAAACTAAAGGGTGGGGGGGTCTTGGCATGTACTACAAGTGGTCACGGAGGGGAGGGAGGGGTCGAAACTAAAAAAATAGGTCATGTAGTATGTGTATGTTCCCTTATATGACATAGTATTATATAATAGTAGGTAGTGAATCGAAGTATTTTGCGTGTGTGTAAGGTTTTGTGTGAGATAGGAACAAGTCAGTGGACTGGCATTTATGTTTGATTAAATAAAATATTTCTATTCAAATTATTTTGTTTTATTACACCTTTTATTCTAACAAGATAGTCTTTATGTATTACTATCTACTGTATATAAAGACTGAATTTGATTAATAAAAAAAATAATAGAATATAATATAAAAAAAGAAAGAACAATGTCAAAAACAAAAGCCAACATAACCTTTTTTTTAAAGAGGGGGAATGCGTTACGCATACCGGGTGCCTCGGGGAAAGCCACTCCGGTTCTGTGGGACTCTCCACATCCCTAAAGGGACAAGACCTACCCATTACACCCCCTCTGATTCCCTCGACTCACTGTTTACCGGGGTGTGGGCTAATGTGTGCTAAAATTCGAACCTTGCCGTGTTGATTTAAATTAAGGCACTTGCCCACTAAGCTGTTAAGGGTGCGTCGATTGAAATCTAGCCAAGGTTTATACTAGCAGCTTTTTTACGACCATTACGGATTTTACTGGCTGTTTTTACCAAGGGCTATAAAAAACGTGTACGAGTTACGTACATTTAAAAAATTTGAAAAATCTAAACGCTACAGTGCGACACATTGACAAGGGGGCGCTAAGTGAGCGCTAGTGTGTGATTTCTACTTATGCCTACCGGGTCAGATAACTTTGTCGGTCTACACAAGAAATGTCAGATAAGAAAATAATGAGTTACGTTTCTTATTGGGTCGATCCTTAACCTTTTCCGACACACATTGTTAAATGTATAACGATAGCGCATTCATCCCTTCCTGCGGGATTCGACTGGAGCAACTTTTGGTTTTGCACATGTCTCTGTTTTTACGAAGATATGAGAGGCACAATATGTCTCAATACATGTGTCACGGCAGTGGAAACCTACAGTTAAATCAACCGTCAGACGTTTTTGTGGGCAGATTTGCCTTTTTTTCCATGAGCACATAGTCATACTGATCAGCTGTGATTGGGCTTGTGTTTGCTGATCTGCAGATCAGCCACGGTTTACCTGGGTGAAACAGATCAATGAATCGGTTCGCAGCTCAGCTCAATTTGTATCTGCATAGAGTTATGATTTACGTTTGGAGTTTCAAATTGCGAGTCACTACGAATTATGAGAGGTAAAGAGCGCGGTCTGTTTCATCGAGCCACGAGCGCATAATTCGCACTGCGAATCGCCGCCTGGCTCGCGGTTCGTCGGGTTGCATAGGTATAGTACATAGAGCATTGAGTCGGGAGCTGCTAATTTAGTTGTTGATTCGTAGCGCAACGGTTCAAGTCCATGTGAGCTGAACGTTCAAACCAGTTCAAAGCTGATTTACACATGTCTAATGTCTAGCAGTCTAGTTTGCAGTCGCTGCGCGCTCTCGGCTGCGATATGACGCGTGTGTTGTGTCTCCTCGCACTGGCGACGCTGTGTCGTGCGACAAGCCGGCCCCACATCATACTCATTATTGCTGACGACTTGGTACGTTTTACTTTAATTTTATGAAAAAAATATCTATATATAATATAATACACTAACTAATTCAGCTTCCATGATTTCTTTTCTATATAAAAAAATTGCATGTATTTCAAGCTATAAAGTTCACTGTAGTTAATTCTATTATTTATGATTATTACGTATAGGTATGTCATCCTTTGCAAAACAAAATATGTCAAAAGTGTAATTAACAAATTAATAAAAATGTAATGTTTCCATTTCGGTTTTTTTTTTGTTATCTTTTTCTAAAATTGCGTCAAAATCTGTACATTGTTTTAGAAATGCATACAGAAAAATTCCGTCAATATCGGTCAAAAAACAACAGCAGCATGGTGTGCTCGGTGAATGATACGTGTTGAAACATATATACATTATGCCCCAAAATACTACTAATGTAACAGTGATATCTAACTTGCAATTCAACTGACGTAACGGTACACAAAGCATGACTTTGTTTTGGGGAGGCTTGTCCTCATTTTGGGGTCAACACATGAAGTTCAGATATACAAAAATTTGTTCTACTTGTCTTAACTACACCTATTTTTTTAAAATTAATCAACAAAAATATTTAGTTCGAATTAAAAAATTTGCCCCCCGCCCGTTTTTAACAAAAATTGTTAGCATATTGCCGTATTTAATCTCAGAAGGCTACCATTGTCTGCGATTAACATCACTAGGAAAATATTCTTTTACTTAATATTTCTTAATAATCTTATACTTAAGCAAATATAAATTTGTTCAGCGAAGTAAAGAAATCCATATCTGTTAATAAAGTTTTCTGTTTTTTTGCAATAAGCGTGGTGCAAGTCAACAATCTGAATAAATTTAATAAAAAAGTTAAGTGTTCACATAACTCCTTATAGCATGTAAGATGTCCGCCTTAAAAATGTTGGGCGAAAATCAGTCTGGCGTATAAGTAATACGTTCATTGAATGGCGCCCTCCAAGGTTACGCGCTCGGACGTCCAGCGACCCTTGCACCCCTTCTTTATGACGGCTCCGAAAGATGCAACTGACGTCACTTGGCATCAATCCAAAACTTTCTACAACAATCGATAGTGAAACTAAGACGAGTAATGATTTGGTTTATTTTATTTTATGATAAACCTTTAACTAAACATTTTCAAAATTATCCGCTGTGTTCCAGGGCTGGAACGATGTGGCTTTCCACGGCTCCAACCAGATCCCGACGCCGAACATCGACGCGCTGGCGTGGTCGGGCCTCGTGCTCAACAATTACTACGTCACGCCCATTTGCACGCCCTCCCGCGCCGCCCTCATGACCGGCAAATATCCTATACACACTGGTAAGCACAATTAGGTTATGTATTGACTATTTAATTATATACAATAATGGCTTTGCATCAATCGAGTTCATGCTCAACAAAAACCTTTGTCTTTACTAATCTGTCTACTCTGAATAAAAAAAAAACAATTGATTCTAAGATACGAAAAATTAATTGTTTCAGTGATGTACATGACTGTACTTGTACCGTAAATGCAGTCATCCGGTTTATTAAAAAATAATACAATACATTTATAGGTTATAACCCTTTTATACACTACTGTATCGTATCAGTCCTAAAACAATGCTCCATTACCTTATTCCCTTTATAATGCATAAACAATACTGAATGGTTACAAATCGTAAAGGAATTTCTATCAGAAGACCTTAACTTGTTAATGACTTTATATGAGTAACTTCTTAGGAAAGGCAAAGAAAAGAGTTTTCTATAAAGTTATCATGAGGTCGTCGCAAAAATATTTATGAATAATAAGGTAATTTATGAGGTCAACGGTCTAGATAAAACGATGCTAAAGCGGTAGTTAAATTATGAACCTACATCATCGTATCTCCTATAAGTATATTTATTTATATTATCTTCTTTGTTTCTATGTTTGTACCCGATACGCTCCCAAACCGTTTGACGTTAATTTTTAAGTGTCGTATGGACACCGGAACAATTTTCTGTCGTAAAAAATCTATTACTCAAATCCTATTGTTTGCAGTATAGTTTAATATTATTTTTTAAATATTTAAACCTCTCATATTATTTTCACTGTGGCATTTAAAGCTGTACATTGTTGTGTACATCAATTATGACGCTATCAATTATTCTCATACAATTACCAACCAATGAAAGTGACACATATAGGTCACACTGGGTCACATAATATTATTTACATTATTATCAAGACGAAAGATTTGTATTTGAAGCGAATAAACTCAAAAACAACTGGACCGATTTTTTTTGCCATTACAAAGGTACATAACGAATGAGTAACGTAGTTGGTTTTGTTTACGTTTTTAAACAAGAAATGAATGATAAATAACTATTATAACACACGTTTTCTTACAGTTAGTAGATAAGTTAACGGTACCAAGGTATTTTTAGTTGAAAAACCTTTACCACGAACGAAGATAGTTCAATGATTATGCGTAAAGCCTGTTGGAAACTTGTTTTTACGTGTTTGGTACCTAGGACGCTAATAGGTAAATTTAGAAACGTAAAACGGCTTTTGTTTGCGACTGCATTTAAATGACCAATAGTCAGAAGTGTCTACAAGTTGCAGATTTGGTAGATTGCGTTTTCATAGGACCGTATTAACTTTTGTTAAAGTTGGGTTAAAATTTTGTCTACACACGTAACTGCTGGCTGTACAATTCGACAGTTAAAACCAAATGTGTGTAGCAGGCTTTAGATGAATGACCTCATCTATGATAAAATAGCAAACGGCTTGAAGTTTCGAGTAGAAAAACTTTAATTATCATAAAACGTTCCGCGATTATGTAAATTAAGAATAAATCACGTAAGCTATTCGGTAACAGAGTAAATAGCAAGCTATGTATGACCGACAATGAACATGGAAATGAACTTTTTACGCAGCATTTAAAGGTAAATTTATTCATTCTAAATACCGTGCATAAATTAGATCTCCTGATGGTCACACATACAATTGTATGCGTTTGTTTGGTGCCAGTATTTTACTAAAATAAAAATATTTAAGTACTAACGCTAGTGATCCGAAAAAATTAATACACAGTTATGTTGTGACCAGTCATCTCTGTGTACCTATGCCACGATTATTTATTAAACCAATGAAACTGTTTGTGGTGCGTTTTTTATCCCTGTTCTTATCTTACTTTATGTGGGGTCGATAGCACAGGTTTTTGTCTTGCAAATAAATTATTTACGTAATATATTTCAAAATATACTGAGTTATTTTTTGTTTCTTTCCCGAGCGATTGTAATGTATGCGCATTTGAGTATGTCAATTTTATTGTGACCGCCTGTAGCCTATAGGACTGAAACGAATTGGGGCGTAAGGTTGTCGTTTGATACATATTATTCTCTTGAGTGTCAGAGGGGAAATTAAATAGGGTTTATGTACATCGCAGGCATGCAGCATGGTGTAATCTACGGCACGGAGCCGCGAGGCCTGCCGCTGTCAGAGAAGCTGCTACCGGAGCACCTGCGCGAGCTGGGTTACCGCACGCACCTCGTCGGCAAGTGGCACCTCGGCAGCTACAAACGCGACTACCTGCCGCTTAACAGAGGGTAACACCACCTCACCCTAATTATAAAGATATTTTACCTACGAGCTCTTCTGCAATTAAGTACTATTTTTATAATAAGTCGTAGCCAAGTTAGGGTAAATGATACACATATTGCTCATTACGCCGCACTGCGGACAAGCCACTATCTTCAGCAAACAGACCCATTGCAACAAACTTTTTGTAATCTGGAGCAAACTACGCTCCGTTTTCGCTTTTTTCGTAACTCGATGTGCTACAAGTTTCACTTCGTTGCGGTTTCAGTTTATTTTACAATATGTCCACATAATATATTTAAAACTGTTAAATTGAATATTTAGCCGGTTAGCTAATCTAACTAAAAATATAGTAGCGATAGTAATAAGCAGCAACCTTTTGACTGATTGAATTTAAATTACGAATTATATTGTTGGCAGTTTCGACACTCACCTTGGATTCTGGACGGGTAGGATAGACATGTATGACCACACCTCTTTTGAATTCGGCTCCTGGGGATTCGATTTCAGACGCGGTAAGTGAAATATATATATATATATATATATATATATATATATATATTGAATATACTTATTCCACTCAGCGTACATACATTTACTTCATTTGTTAATTAGTTTAAATAATTTCTTATTGTTAATCGATCGATCTATATTAATACAAACTTATGAGTTGTATATTTTTTTTAATAAAATACAATTGAATGATTTCGTGTTAAACCTACTTTGGTGTTGAAAATAGGGAATTTACATTCCCTATGTTTTTACAGTTTAGGCAATAATAAAGTTTTCAGCCTCATTTCCTCAGGGTTTGAAGTGGCTCACGACTTGTTCGGGCAGTACGCTACAGACGTCTACACCAAGGAAGCGGTGAGGGTAAGTAGCTTCTGATAATTTACTATTGGCATAATTCATTAATTCGATAACAAAACGCTACTTCTATTAGCAATCTATATACAGTTAAAGAATTAAATATCGTACAGCAAACTGTCACAAGGAGATATAATTCTGCACATGTGTATGAAGCTATGATACATAATTAGACTTAATTAGGACTTAATTGAACGTCAAACGACCTTTCGATTGTATCATTCCAAGTTCGGTGACCGCGGTCAAAGTAGCTTGTAAGTCTCGCTAAGCGAGTGAAAAACGTGTGTATAGCTATGTGCCGGTTGCAGTTAATCAACGCACACAACGCGAGTACGCCGCTGTTCTTGACGGTGGCGCACTCGGCGGTGCACAGCGGCAACCCCGGCGAGTTCCTCCGCGCGCCCGACGCCATCATTGACAACTTCGCGCACATTCGCCCATTCCAGCGGCAAAAGTTTGCCGGTACGACACTTCATTTCAATGTTATTTTTAATAAATTCTACTGAACACTACAGAATGCGGGGGAATTTTTCAATGTTATTTTTTATAATGGTTAATTCGCAAATATATTCCCAGCCTTGAATAATAAAAAGTTAAATATCACACAAAGTAACCGGTTTACGATTTTTGTAACGATTTTGGTGACGTTGCAGCCATGGTATCGAAGCTGGACGAGTCCGTGGGCAAGGTGGTGCAGACGCTGCAGCAGCGCAGCATGCTGGAGCACTCCATTATTCTGTTCACGACGGACAACGGGGGCGCCGCCGCGGGCTTCAACGACAATGCCGCTTCCAACTACCCATTGAGGGGCGTAAGTACAAGCAACTTTGTAACCTAATCATAATTTTTATATGAAAAAGTTTCTACAGTTTAGGAACGAAAACGATACTTTTAATTCCAAAAACGATGACATATAGTTGTTGTATGTACATGTATCCTACAATCGTCACGATAATGATGTCGTGTGCTCGTGTGACAGGTGAAGAACACATTGTGGGAGGGCGGGGTGCGCGGCGCGGGCGTGCTGTGGAGCCCGCGGCTGCACGTGACGCCGCGCGTGGCTCGCCAGCGCCTGCACCTCGTAGACTGGCTGCCCACACTGCTCGCCGCCGCGGGCGCCAACTACAGGTGCACTTACTACTTACTATATCTACAATATGCTCATTTGATAACACTGCAATTTTTGTCAACGATATAGTGTTTGGATACAGTTTTAATCGTTCAATAGTACATCATTTAAAATGTATTATTAAATATATCGGTACGGACAGCTGCGACTCTATCGACGGTATGAGCCAGTGGGAGGCGCTGTCGGGCGACCTGCCCTCGCCGCGCTCCGCCGTGCTGCACAACATCGACGACATCTACGGCAGCGCCGCCATCACCGTGGATCAGTGGAAACTGCACAAGGGTATTATTCTTATTTAGTGTGTCAATACAAATATCACGGCAATCGAAAACCGCAGTAAATATTGTCATTGTTGTTAAGGTACGAATTACAACGGCGCGTGGGATGAGTGGTACGGTCCGAGCGGCGAGGGGGAGGGCGGCGAGTACTCACCGGGGCGAGTGCGCGACAGCGACGCGGGTCGCGCGCTGCACCAACTCGGTCTGCTGCCCGCTGATCACACTATTTTGGCTCTCAGGTACCGCTTAATATATATTTTCTTATTTTTAATCAAAACTTTTAAAGATTAATTATGAAAGACTTTTTTTACTTTTCATTTATGTCAAAAACTTACAATCGTTGAATAAAGATGGTATTTGTTTACAGTTCAGGTCGCACACTGTGTTATCAAACTTTAGTATTTTTTACCCGAGCGTGGAGAGGTCACAGTTACTAATGTATGTTACGTAATTAATTCAGAGAGGAGGCGACATTGCGTTGCAACACGAGCGTCACGCCCATCCCGTGTCGGCCGCTCGCCGCGCCCTGTCTCTTTAACATCGAGGCGGACCCCTGCGAGAAGAGGAATCTGGCGGATCTGTAAATATCTTCTCCCAAGTTCATCATTTCATTTAAATGACGAAAAAATGAAGAATAAAACCTATTCTTCCTAGTTACTTGTTGGGTAATAAAGATAATATTTCAGAGAGCCGGTGATGCTGCGCCGCATGATGGTGGAGCTGGAGCTGGTGAACCGCACGGCGCTGCCGGCGCAGGTGCGCGCGCGCGAGCCCCGCGCTGACCCGCGCCTGTGGGGCCGCCTCTACACCAACTTCGGGGACTACCTGCCCGCGCCCTGCGCCCTCGACCCCGCGCAGCCACACTGCTACACTCTGCCCATCAACACCATTTAATTCACTCACATCTATATGTGGCACCCTACTAGCCCTCCTGATTTCTGACTATTTTATTAAAGTACTGAAAACTGTGATAACTGATAGTAGTTTAAGCTAAATTATTTTCCTCCTCTTTACTCCAAGTATGTCAAAATAGGACAAAAAATTTCGCGATCACTACCAGACTTTCATAGAAAAACGTAACAAAGTTACAATCCAATGAATGGTTTAAGCACACTTGGTTATTGTTACAAGTTACATTACAAGTTATTGCTGTACTCGGAGACGTTTACTGGGTGTTTTAACATTCCCTCAGTTAAGATTTTGATTATGGCAGAACATAAAAACATTGATAATTTTTTTTTGTAATAAGAGAAGATAAGACTACATAAACTACTGATCTAGTGATGAAATTGTTGTATGAATTTGTAATTTTAACTCAGTTTCATGAATTTAAGGTGTTTTGTGTATGTTTGTAACAAAGATATTTGCATTTAGTTTAGTAGTTTAAGGATAACTCTCTCTCTCTCTCTCTCTCTCTCTGCCTAGCTTGCATCCCACAAGATGGTGGGGTCAGCTTATCTAATCCCTCTTTTCCAGTTCGCTCTATCCATGACATTCATCTGTGACTTGTCACTCACTCATGTCTTTTATCTCGTATCTTGTTGTGTATATATATTTGATGTAATGTTTAACAATAAAGATATTTTAGTTATATAAATATATTGAAATGTATTAATTAAATGTTAATTTAAAAAGACGTCAAAAAGATTTTTTTTAACCTTCACCACCCTATAGTTATTAACAGACAAACTGTTGAATGTAAAAAAATAAATTGATATAGTTGAATAAATAAAAAAAACATCTTTAATCACCTCTTTTGCAGCATTAAAACAAAATCAACCGAAAAAAAATCATTTTACAAATAATATTACTCAAAAGTACTCCGAGATCTTTTAGATTTGACCTTGGACCTGAGAGTGGTGGTGTCGGGTTCCAGTTTCCGCTTGTTCCTGGCGAGGCCGAAGCCGGCCAGCGTGTCGGCGAGGGATTCATCCTTCAGGGTTGGAGTCAAAGCATCCCGGTACTGCTGCAGCAGCTCGCCGGCTGGGACCGGCGAATGCAATTCCACCACGCGACCCACGCTTGTGGCCTCGCGGAGACTCGCCTGATAGAACAGGCAATAGCTTTTATAAGAAAGCTTGTAATCCACTATGACATACAATTCCAATAACACATTAACCTTCTATTGCTGCAGTTGGTAAGAATGTAAATCATCATTTTTTTATAGGACAAACATACATAAGAATAAGCTTAAATAAGACAATGTTAGGAGCAGAAAAGTTGAAAAGTTTGCCACTTGTACCATCTGGGAGGGGCTGAGCACCTCCGGCGCGGAGTCCGACCGACTCTCCTGAGAGGCGAGCGTCTCCTCCAGCAGCCGCTCCACGACTCCCGGCTTCAAGTCGGAGAAGAAGGACGCCATCACCTCCCGCAGCCGCGGCTCGTTCACTTTTTGCGGTACATTCCAGCTGAACATTCCAGAATGTTCCATTCGTTAGTCTGTTCTTTTAGTGAGTAAAGTATCGAAGGCTGGTGGCCCCGATGGTCCCGCATCCTAAGTGTTATAGATGGTGTACATACTCGTCGTGTGCGAGCACGTGCTTGGCGCGCAGGTACTGCAGCAGCCGGAGCACGTAGCGCTGCGCCAGGCCCAGCGCGCACAGCGGCGCCGAGCTGACCGCGCCGCGCGCTCCGCACCACGCCAGCATCAGCCGCACCGCGCACTGACTCTGACACATCACATCTATCACATCTCATGACACAATCTATACAAACATTATGTGTATGGGGATAGTGGTACCTCTCTCTTCTTGTTGTCGAGCTTGGCCAGGCGGGGGCAAGTGGGGCGGCGCGCGACGTCTGCGTCCGCGCATCTCGCGCAGCAGTGAC